CCGAGACAGTCCAAGAGGGGTCCAAGACGGCTCCAAGACGGTCCAAGAGCGCTCCAAGACGCCCAAGTTGGGTCCGGGACGGTGCAAGACGGCCCCAAGACGCCCGAAGATGGCTCCGAGACGGTCCAAGAGGCTCCCAAAACGCCCCAAGTGGCCTCCAAGAGGCTTTCCAAGAGGCCCCGAGGAGGCAAAAATCATTGATTTTTTAATTGTGTTGGAAGGTTTTTTGGGATTTCGCTTTGTCGGGCCATGAACTGCCGAAAACGACCTAGGAGGCCCCAAAGATCGTCCAAGGACGACCTAAGAGGCCCCCAGAAGCGAGCGAAAACGGCCCAAGAGTGCTCCAAGACGGCCCAAGAGGGCCTCGAAACGGCCCACGAGAGCCCCAAGACGGCCCAAGAGAGCCCCAAGAGAGCTCCAAGAGACTCCCAAGACCGCCCCAAGAGACTCCCAATAGAGCCCCAAGACGGCCAAAGCCCTCCAAGACGCACCCAGACGCCCGAAAAGTGCCCCACGACGCCCCAAGAGGGCCCCAAGACAGTGAAATGGGCCCCCAAATCAGCCCAAAAGGATTCCCAAGAAGGCCCAGAGACGCCGAATCAAAGAGCGATCGGTAACGCAAAAAGCTCTGCACACTAAGGTTCCCAACAGCGAACGGTTACGCACGCCTGCGACGGGCTGGGGGCTGTTTTGGGCGCGGAGCCTTTCACTAGGGCCAGCTTTTCATCCCGAGGAAAGGGGGGTGGAGCAGTGACGTCAGCAACTCTAGTCACCAAAGCTTCCAGAGCGCACAGTGACGGGACAAGCTCTTAACAGCAAGGCTCTCACGAGCGAACGACCATCGGGACAACCATCAGGATGACCATCGATGCAATCATCGGAACAACCATCGGGACAACCATCTTGACCCATTGCGCTCAGACGCCATACACGCGCACCCTATGGGACATGCTGAGGCATGCACCCACTGGGACACTTGTAGTACGCGCACCCTGTGGGACGTGCTCAGCACGCACCCATTGGGACACGTACGGCATAGTACACGCGCACCCTTTGGGACGTGCTCCGGCACGCACCCACTGGGACACGTGTAGTACGCGCACCCTTTGGGACGTGCTCTGCACGCACCCATTGGGCTCTTCACACCAAGGCTCCCAAGAGCGTACGGTGACGTAAACAAGCTGATAAGACCAAGGTTCCCAGCAGAGAGCGGTGACGTAACGTTCCTGACACCAATGCCCAGCCAAGGCTCAGGAACGGGCGGCAACGCAACAATCTCTGAATACCAAGGCTCCCAAGAGCGAGGGGTGACGTAACAAGCTCTCAACGCCAAGGCTCCCAGTACGAACGGTGGTGTGATTAATTTCGGTTTCTGTTTCTGAAGCGCTCTTTCCGTTTCCGTGCCGGCCCAGGTCTAGTGGCCTTCGGCCCGTAGGTTAGAGGCCTTCCAGGTGCATGTGAGGATCTCTTCGGAGGGTTGGATGCCTTTTGGAGGCAGTTTTCGGTGCGTTTTGGAGCGTCTTGAAGGTCTCGTAGAGATTGGTTAGGGTCTCTTGGGGGCCTTTGGGGGCCTGCGGGGCGCACCTCGGGTGCTTGTGGGGGGATATTGGGGCCATTCTAAGGCGGAGGGCCCAAAATGTCAGTTCGTGCTCCCCATCTTGGGCCCCTCTTGGGGTCGTCTAAGTGGCTTTTGGGTTCCTCATGAAGGTTTTGGGGCCGCGCTGGGGCGATCGTGGGCCCCCCTTGGGCCGTCTTGGGCGCTCTGAAGACCGGAAGAGCGGTAAAGCGAACGCCTTCCAGGGGCCTCCAAGACGGCCCGAGAGACGCCCAGTAAGGCTCCAGGACGGTCCCCGTGGCCACCTGAAATATGTTGGGCATGCATGTCCCGAGCGACGCGCCCTTGGCCTCTCTAGAAGTTATGCGGGGACCCCCCGAGAGCGCCCAGGAGCGCCCGAGAGCGCCCAGGAGCGCCCGCGGGCGCCCGAAATTCTGGGTGGCGCGTCCCTTCTTATTACAGAGCTCGACGCCGAGAGTTCGAGAGAATTTGGGGCACTGCAGCTCGTGCCTCAGGGCACGGTGGCGGATGTAGTTCTCGTCCCCCGGTCCCGCCACTGTGCCTGGGTTGCGGGCCAGAGTCCCTGCGGAGCCTGGTGGGGTCTCTCGGGGGGGCCTTCTGGAGACCTCTTGGGGCCTCTTGGGCGCCGCTTTGTGGGCCTTTTGTCGGTCGCTAGGGCCATCCTGGCATAAGAGTTGTGCCAGTCGATTATCGGAGAGGAAGCATGCTGCCAAATAATTCCCAGATGTCTAAAACATGTTTCAACCATGTGTAGATAAAACACGTTTGAAACGTTTTTAGAACATGCTTTACACGTTTTAAGCACATCTTTAATTCAATGGTAGGATTGTTCGGGTGTCCATTGTCCTGGCATCCGCAACAATAGAGGGATCCCAGGGCCAGTTCGTGATTCCCCTGCGCCCGTACATATTGCAAGCATAAGGTGGTTCAGTGATCGCTGTTTCCCCCAAAATGCTCGCGCGAGGCTAACATACATCGCTCAGAAAGTTTGGAAAGTATTGGCCGTTGGTCCCTTAACCAGCACATTCGAAGGGGCCCGAGGACATAAAACTCAGTGTCCACAGCACGGTTGCGAATATTTCCCAACGCCTTCCACAAGGAATATCCGCACCCGTAGGTCGAATTAACGTCGACATTCCCATCGGCTAAAATTGCTAACCCAATTCCGCAGGCTAAAATAGTCATTCCACCGACAACGCATAAAACAGACACTTGAAGATCCCCACCTCCTGTGTGCGATTCCCGTGTGACCAGGTATTCCCCGCCACCACACACATGCGTGTATACGCGTATGTGTGTCTATGTATTTGAGGATGTACATATACATGCTACCACCGCCACACAGTTGTTCTTCCCTGGTTACCCTGGTTCAAGCAGCAAGTGGATTGTCTCCTTGGCCACGGGGTCCAACTGCCAATCCGCGTTTCGCGGATAGTTTTGGCCACCAAGATATCACAACCCGCTTGCGGCAAGGTAAATTAAGCCGCGGACAAGTTGCCGACGAACGACCTCGACAGAACGCGCACGTAGAGCAACCCCTGTGCGCAGAAACAAAGAGCACACAATAACAAAACAGCGCAGATCAGACAACAATCGGCCACAACAGAATGATGAAGACGAAGAGCAAACCCACTCAACACACAGAGACCACAGGCAATTACATGCTTGCCTCCCAGGAGGGCTGCATCTCCCATCTCCCGAGACCTGTTGCCGGACTGTCCAAGATCGCCGGGCCGTCTCAGCGGCAGTGGTGACGTGAGAGGAAATTTGGGGCCGCTTGGATTGTCTTCCGGCCCTCCAGGGAGGAGGGCCGTCCCGGGCGCTCCTCCGCGCCCATTCGGTCCCACCGCTGCCGCGTAGACGGAGGATCTCAGCCGGAGCCCCGCTCGAGTCCGCCCGAGACTGGCGAGCTTCTGCTGTCCGGAAGGCAGGCTCCGAGGCGTGGTGCCAAAGGCGGGTGCCGCTTCGCGCTGGCCTGTGAGGGGGAGGAGCTTGCACGGGCGGCTTCGCTGGGAGCAGCATGCCCAGGCTCCCGACGTCGTGCCTTTTCCTGCCCGTGCCCCCCCCTTCCCCCGGAGCTCTCGACCCCACCCCAGAACCGTCTTGCCGTGATGCATCCCGTTGGTGTCCGACACGGATGTCCGGATGCCCAAACTTGCCACGGAAACCGGTGTCTTCATTGTTCCAGGCGCTGGAGGCGTGAAAGCACGCAGTGGCTAGAATTCAAGAAAGAATGGGTTCGAAAAAGCCAGGCCGAGCGACTTCGACGAGGAACGCGACCTGGGGAGTGGCCTGAGCAACACCAAGCCCCTCCTGAAGCCAGAGTCGTCCTTACCCTGACTTCTGAGGATGTCTGGTGAGCGTCTGGCCCCTTCGAGCCCCCGACCCGCTTCCCAGGGCCAATGTGTTCAACAGTACTGAGGCCCGGGAAGGGCCCGGAGAGGCCGAACATGACAGCAACGGCAGTCAGATGTGGCGCGAGTGGTCGGAATCGGCCCAGGTCAGGGTATGCCAGCATTGGTCGCACAGGCCACGTTCGCATTGTAGATGCGTGGTGGAGGAACCGCCCCCTCACGTCCGTAGCGTTTGAAATGTTTCAAGTGTGGTTGGGGCACGCGTCTCCGACCCCTGCTTTCGGCCTACTGGTCCGTTGCTTCCTCCTCCTGCTCCTCCTCCTCCTCCTCCTCCTCCTCCTCCTCCTCCTCCTCCTCCTCCTCCTCCTCCTCCTCCTCCTCCCCCCCCCCCCTCCTCCTCCTCCTCCTCCTCCTCCTCCTCCTCCTCCTCCTCCTCCTCCTCCCTCCTCCTCCTCCTCCTCCTCCTCCTCCTCCTCCTCCTCCTCTTGTTCCTCCACCACCTCCTCCCCCCTTTCCTCGATCAGTGCCTTACTCCTTTTCAGCCACCTTCGTATTCCTCCTTCTCCCCTTCCACCTGTTCCCACTTCATTATCGTTTCTTCCTGCGTCATCCTTGCCATTTCCTTCTCCACCTTCCTGCCGCTGCTCTTCCTCCTCCACCTCCTCCTCCTTTCATTATGTCCCTCCACCTCGTCCTCCCTTATCTCGTCACCGCCACATATTGGAGATGAGTGAGTTCCACCGAAGCCCTTCCCAAAAATCCACTTCAGCCTCCCATTCTTACTCTCAAGCATTATCCACCTTCCTTCTTTTTCTTCTCCACCTCATCCTCCTCTTCTTCCCCATCATCAGCAGCATCATCGTCACCACCGCCTTCAGCATCAGCGTTCTCATGGTCACCATCATCGTCACCATGGGCTGTACTTGTACGTGAATCCTGTGTCTCGCTTCGGTGCTGAGCCGCTCGACCCCCAGTCGACCCGAACTGTAACTCGTTCTGTTCGCCGCAACTGCGGTGGCTCAAGCTTCAAAGGGCTCGGGCCCCCCTCCCGCGCGCCCAGCAGGGGTTGCATGTGGGAGTGGTTGCTCCAGCGCGGTCCCGAGTACCTGGCCCAGGGGATCGTCAACTACGCGGCGCGCTGCCCAGCGATTCCCGCCTGCCCAGCCTCGGGTTGCCCGCCTTGCCCGAGGCTGGTGTGCGGGGACTGCGTGGTGCCGGCCTGCCCGGCCTGCCTGGGCGGCTCGGCGCGACCTGTGGCTGCCGAGCCCGACTGCCGGCCCGCTGAGGCGGAGGCGGGCTGCAGCGAGGCAGGGTGGGGGGTGCTGGCGTACCTGATTTTCTCGTTCGGCGTCGTGGTCGGCGCCCTTGTGGTGTCCAGCGGCTGTGGCTGCGTGGGTGTGCTAAGGCGCATCGGGCGAGCCGCCGTCAAGAAGACTGACAGCGAGGATGAGTTGGAGTTACGTCCTGTACAACGTGGTCGGCCTGCCGATCTGGCGTCAGCGGAGGGTGCACGGGGTGGTGGCGCAGTCGGGTGGTAAGCTGTAGGTGGCGGCCACCGCAGACGGGCACGTCTACGCCGAGGACTGGTCATCGACGTCCACGGACGTGCTGGCGGTGCGGTGGAGCCAGGGGTACCGCGACGTGCCGGCGGGTGTACCGCGCGACCGGGTGTACCGGTTCAGGCGGGAGCCGTCGGCCGCGCGGGACGCCGAGTTCCAGCAGGCCGCCGAGGCGGAGGCCGAGACGGAGGGCCGCTTCCTCGCGGCGGCGCAGGGCGTGGCGCCTCCGCACGCGGGCTTCGCGTGGCTACTGCCGATCGACGGAGTGGGCCAGGTCGTCGGAGCCGACGCAGGGGCGCTGGTGCCACAGCTGCTGCTCCTGCTGTCCCTGCGGCGGTGCCGGGTGCGGTTCCCGTCGGAGGCGTCGTCGCAGGAGCCGCCGCCGCTGCCGCTGCGCCGGTGGCAGCGCCGCCGCCACGCCTGCAGGGGCCCTTGCAAGGGGTCGCGCCCGTGGGGGCCCAGCCCTGCGTCGTGACGCTGTGGCGCGCGGCCGAGAGCGGGGGCGGCTTCCGCTTCGGGGACCCCGTCCCGGGCCACGTGCGGACCGCACGGGCGCTCGGGACCAAGGACTTGCACGTGCTGGCCGACGGGACGGCGCTCTTCGTGGAGGAGGTCTCGCCGGCCAATGAGACGAGTTTCTTCGACACGGGGGTCTCAGGCGACGCCCGCATCATGGCCGTGCGCCGCAACCGCCAGGGCAGGCGCGAGCGGACGTGGGCCGAGATGGTGGCTGATGTGGCGCGCGAAGATTTCACTAACGATTGGGACCTGCCGGGGCCGCGCTCCACGCTGTGGTGTCTCGAGTTCGTGAACCAGGAGGGGCTCGGGCTGGACGGGCACCACGAGCGTCTCAGGAGCACGCGCAAGCTCGAGAGCTCGAGCTGGGGCGCGTCGGAGCATTACTGTGTCACGCAGGCCTTGAAGCTCGGGCTCTTGAAAGACCAAGTCAACGGGAGCAACCTCATGATGGTCGATAGCCTCTTCCGCCGCCTCCAGACGATAGAGTTCGCTCACTCCGAGAGGGCTCGCGAGCAGGAGGCCAAAGGGCACGGCGGCAAGCTGGGCCTCGAGGAGCAGATGGCCTGCGCGGGCTCTTCCCGCGCGGGTGGGTCCCTGATGATCTGCCCACTGTTGCTAGACGACGCGAGGGGAGAAGTCGAGCGGGAGGCGCCCTTGGCCCAGAACCCTCGGAAGGCGAGAGATGAGCGCGAGGCCGCTCGCAAAAATAACAGAGGAAAGAAGGGCAACGTCAACGGGTGACGGCCGTTTCTCTTTGACACACCCTGTTGCGCGGGCCGTGGGCATAACGGGGCCCACTGGCCTGCGCGGCTCGCCCCCTGCTGGCGCGCCTGAGCTATCCCGACTTTCGAGTGGCCCTGTGAGCTGGGCTCCGTGGCCCACCGAAGAAGCTTGCCATTTAGACTCCCCCACTCATCCTCCTTCCTCCTTTCTTCCCGCGTCGGACCGACGCGTGCCCCGCGAGCTGCCCCCCCTTCCCCGTGGAGAGGTTTTCAGAGTGTCTCGGGCGCGCGCCTGTAAGATGTCACGCGGCGCGCGACAGAGGCCGGGCAGGCGACAGGCCGAGGATCGCGAGGTCGATCGAGCGGTCTGGGGCTTGAGTTCGCTCTACTCCCATCAGCCGCAGCCCCCGCCCCGCGCCTCTCGGGAGCTGTCTTCGGATCGGGTCAGCGATGGTGGTGCACTTTTACTTGCGTCTGCTGGTCAGGCCGGGGTGTTGGGCCGAGTCCGATGCGCCGCGCGCGACCTCGGCCCCTCACCCGAGGGGGTCACTCCCGCGGAAGCCCTGAGGAAGCTTCGCGTGGCGGGCCGGTACGACGTGGACGGTGCCGCGCTCGGTCGCTACTCTCTCGCCGACGTCTCACTGCCATCAGGCGATCCCAGGCCTGTTCCTGTGTCTGAGCTGTGGGGCGAAGGCGGGCGCCAACTGGTAGAGGACTTCTGCCGCTTGAATGTCGCCCCGTCGGAACAGTCGCGGGCTCGACTCCGAGCCTCGGGCGTTGACCCCCCCTACTCCGATCCCAAGCTTAGGCGCCCTCGCGCTTTTGAAGTGTTCATGGCGGCGCTGGCCGCCCGCGGAATGCTCGATTTTGCACGCGAGGATGGCGAGCGAGTGGGGCCTTTTTCTGTGGCCAAGAAGAACGGCAAGCTGAGGCTCGTCGTGGATTGCAGGCGCTCAAACTGTCATCTGATTGAGGCTGGTGGGATCTCTCTGCACCGGCGAGGGTCTCGCTGCCATCGAGCTCGGAGCCGACGACGACGTCTTCGTTGGCGGAGCTGATTTGAGTGACGCTTTTTACCACGTGGGGCTCCCAGAGCCTCTGAGAAAATACTTTACTTTTCGGCCCGTGCGGGCTGGAGCGGTAGGTTGCGCGAAGATCGGGGTTCGGGCTGTGGCTGCGCATGAGAAGATTTACCCCGGGCTCGCTGTCATTCCCATGGGATGGTCTTGGGCTCTTTGGTTTTGCCAGAAGATACACGAGGGGATTGTTGAGGCTGCTGGCTCGGGCCCCAAGTATTGGATCACCGACAAGACGTGCGCCCCCGACCTCAGCAAACCATTTCACACGCAGTATGTGGACAACTGCATATCTCGCCCGACACAGACCACGTCATCAATCTGCGACTGTTGCCATCGCTGCTCCTGAGGCCCGAGGTCTCGTTGTTCATGAGGAGGATCATGTGGGGGAGAGTGCTACCGCCAAGTTGCTGGGTTGGGTCATCGATCGAAGGAGTGGGCGCCTCGTTGCTTCTCCTGAGCGTCTATGGCGTGATCGGCCTGATATTCGCGCTCTTCTCGCTCGTGGTCGGGCAGAAGGTCGGGATGTTGAAAGACTTCTCGGACATATTGTTTATGTATATGTATATGTATGTATATATATACATATATATATATATATATATATATCCTCGGTGCGACGTGAAAGCCTCAGCTTGTTTTGGAGTTGCGGTGGTTTTATTCACAAGCATTACGACACGGACTCTACCCTGCGGTCCTCGGTTCTTCGGGAGTTGAGCGTTTGGGGCTCTATCTCCCCGCCCCTTCACCGTGATCTGCGGGCCGCTTGGGGAGGCGAAGTTATCGTGGTCGATGCGAGCGAGAGGGGCCTCGGTGCCTGTTCCAGCCGCTGTGGGGCCTCTCTCTGTTCGCAGGTTGGGCGTGCATCCGAGAGGTGGCGCTGGGGTCGGGGCGGCGCCCTCGGGGGCCCTCGTCGCCACGCTGGGCGCTGGGCTCGGAACGCGGCGACGGCGGCGGCCCTCGACGGGTCCACGGAGAGCGCTGCCCCTTGGATGTACGGCCCCGACGACACTCAGGATCCGGTTCTTGATCACGCTGCTTCCGGTCTTCCGGAGGCCCCTGGCCACGCCCCCGGCGATGTCTACGGGTTCGGGAGGTTAGCTCGTGAAGGTGAGTTTCCTGAAGTTCCAGGGGGGATGATCGAGCAGGACTGGAAGGTGGTGGGGAGGTCCGAGTGGCGTAAGAAAGGCGAGAGCATCCCAGTCCTGGAGGCTCGCGCGACCCTCTACGGCTATAGGCACCTCCTCCGCAATTGCCATCACCACGGCAAGCGTCTAGTTGTCCTCGGGGATTCTATGAGCGTGGCCGGTGCTGTCTCTAAGCGCCGCAGTGGAAGTCGGGCCATGATGAACGTCACCCAGAGCATCGCCGCCCTCTCCCTGGCGACGGGCCCCTCTCTCCACTACCGCTGGCCCCCCTCGGAGTGGACCGCAGCCGACGGGCCCTCAAGGGGGCGTTGGCACCCCGCGGCCCCCACCGCTCTGGCCGCGCGGGATGCTCGCACGCGCGGCGCCGGCCCCGGGCACCGCGGCCTCGCCCAGCCTGGCGCCGTGGACAGGGCCCCTGCCCAGGACTCCCCAGGCGGAGTTGAGGGGGCCCCGAGCACCAGCTCCGCGCCCTGGCGATGGGATGGCAGGGGCCTCGAGCCGGCCTACGTCATCGGGGCACAGTCGCGCGGCCGCGCTGCGGCAGCAACACCGCGCGCTTCGGCGCCCGGCCGCTTCGCGGGCCCCTCTGGCCTCGAGCGGGCCGCTGCGCCGCAAGGCCTCCCAGCAGGCCACGCGGGGAGTGGCGCGGCGGGCTGCAGCTGTTCGGGCGCCGGGCACGACGGCGCTCGACGCGGCGCCCATCCAGCCCCGGACCCGCAACCGCTACCAGGAGATCTTCCGCGACTTCCTGGCGCGGTCGAACGGGCGGCCCCTGACGTCAGAGGACCTGGTGGACGAGGCGATCGCGGAGTGGCTCGACGAGCTGTACCTCGACGGCGAGGACTTGAGTGCGGGCTCGTGGGCCTACGCGGCGGTGACGTTCTTCACGGGCCTGAACAAGGCGTCGGGCGCGCTGATGCCGCGATCCCGCCGTGCTCTACGAGGCTTCCGCAGCTTGGCGCCACCGCGATCTCGATTGCCCATGCCTTGCATGGTGGTGGCGATGGTGGTGATGGAGCTGATCGCCCGGCGCCGCGTCGAGAGCGCCCTCGCGGTGCTCCTCGTCTTCGAGCTGTACCTGCGGCCCGGGGAGGCGTTCCACATCAGGGCCGCGGACCTTGTGCCCCCAGTCTCGGACGTCAGCGGGGCCTCCCACTGGTGCGTGACGCTCCATGCTGCCGAGACCGAGCGAGAGTCGAAGACGGGCGAGTTCGACGAGAGCCTCTCGTTGGACCTCGGCCGCCAGTCCTGCCTGGGGCCCGCGCTCAACCAATTGGCGAGCCAGCGCCTCGGGGCCAACTGGCGGGCCGCGCAGCAGAGGCGCGCTGGAACTGGCCACCACCTTGCTGCCCCGCTGTTCACCGGGACGCTGGCCGACGTGACGAAGGACTTCAAGACCGTCGTGGAGGCGCTGGGGGTCCACACGGCCCTGGGCGCCGCCCACATGTACATGCTGCGACACGGCGGCGCCTCGCGCGACTGCGCCTCGGGTTACCGCCGCCTGGAGGACGTGCGCGGGCGTTCGCAGCCCTCAGTGAGACGCTGCGAGAAGGGCAGCAGGCTCGCGCAGGTCGTCCTCAAGCTCACACCCGCCCTGCAGGCCCACGGAAAGCTCTGCACGGAGCTGCTGAGCGAAGTCGTGTCTGGCCAGCGCTCGGCTGCACCATTCGTCTCCGACAGCGCGTCTTCGTCGAGGTCTTCTCGGGGAGCGGGCACCTCTCGGAAGCGATCTCGGGCGTAGGGGTGGCGGCTTTGCTCTGGGACATCAGCCTGGGCGAGAACTACGACCGTAGGTGCAGGCGTAATCGCCACCTTGTCCTCGGCTGGGTGAGGGATGGGCTGGTGGTTGGGCTCCATGTAGCCACGCCTTGCTCGTCCTTCAGCCGTGCCCGAGACATCCCCCCTGGGCCCCCTCGGCTCCGAAGCGACTCGGGGCCGATGGGCCTCGGAGGGCTCTCCCAGGCCGACCAGGAGAAGGTGGCGATTGGTAACATCCTGATGTTGTTTCCCGCGTCTCTTATACGTGAATGCGGGCAGGCTCAGATCCTTTGCTTCCTCGAGAACCCCGGCCCCCCCCGTAGTCGACTGTGGGTTTTCCCTGCTATGCGTCGTCTCTCCCGGACTCGAGGTGTTACTGTCATTATTACAGATTTCTGTCAATGGGGTGTCCCTTGGAAGAAAAGCACATGTTTCTCATCCCAACCTTGACTTGATCGAGCTCGCGAACGCGAGATGTGTCGGCGGCAGCAAGCGGGGCATATGCAGTCGCACGGGCCGTGGTCATCAGCAGCTTCAGGGCAAGGATCCCGCCGGACATTTCTACGCGAAGTTAGCTGAGCCATACCCAAAGCGGCTGTGCAAAGCGCTGGCCACTGCGTACTACAACTCATGGGCCAAAGGTATCGGTGACTCCTTTGGGCGCTTTTTTGCAATAAAGAATGAGCGGTTCGGGCCAGCGAGCTGTTTTGGAGATAACAGAGTTTGCATGTGTTTGACGAGTTTTGTCGCGGCCTCAGCGGCCGCTTCCATCGTGCTCGGACTCGCGGAGGCTCGGCTTCATATACATCCTGGTGTCTGGCTGAAGTAAGAGAATAGAGCTGGGGATGGGCTGTACTTGTGCGTGAATCCTGTGTCTCACTTCGGTGCGCAGCCGCTCAACCCCCAGCCGACCCGAACTGCAACTCGTTCTGCTCGCCGCAACTGCGGTGGCTCAAGCTTCACCCCCTTCCCCCTCCACCACCCTGGAGAGTTTTCAGCTTGCGACTGGTTTCACGCAGCAGGTGCTTGACGATATTTGACGCGGCCTCAGCGGCCGCTTCCATCGTGCTTGGACTCGCGGAGGCTCGGCTTCATGTACATCCTGGTGTCTGGCTGACGTAGGAGAATAGAGCTGGGGAATCTTAGCACCATTGCCATCCTCATCATAGTCATCACTTTGATTCGAAGCATATTCATAATCAGCATCAATACCCGGACCACCAGCAGCATCAACATCAGCACCACGATCATGTTCATCACCATCATCGTTAGCAATGTCCGTGCCATCATCATCACCACCATCATTACCACCATACCCATCAGCATTCTCATCATCAGCCTCATCAACAGCAGCAGAAACATCACCAACGTCATCAGCAGCATCGCCATCGGTATCATCGTCACCATTCTCGCCCTACTGTGGATTGCTCCTGTTCCCCGTCCCGATCCACCTATGTCGCGTCTCATCATGTATCCGCCCTCCCCCATTCCCCCTTTCATCCTTGCCATCATTGCATTGTTCCTCCTCCATCTTGCAAGCCATAATGTCCAGTGGGAACCTTCTGCATTGAATTGTGCTTGCTTCGGGCCAACCCGTGCCCCGCTAAGTTTGGACGCGCCGCGTTAAGTTGCCAGCAACAGTTCTGCCTGCAGTTCCTCTCTCATCCCCGCCCCCCTGTCTCCTCGCCTCTATCCTCGTCGCAAGAACCGTGTTGGCTCATCCGCCCCTAGGGAGGGTCCGCTGCGCAGCGCCGAGCCTCCGCGAGGCGTTCTTGGGATCCCGCGCCATGTCCACCAGTCGTTGCGCGTTGTTGAGCCGGTGCAAGTTCATGAATTTCGGCTGCGTGGTATTCGACGCCAGCATGGGACGAGCCGTGTCGCGGACCCGCCAGGCTGCTGCCGCCAAGCGCGCGGGTTCCAGCGCGCAGGGCAGCTGGTTCCGCTGCCAGGCCTGCCGCCGCTGCGAGTTGGACGACCGCGTGGCTCAGCTCAACTGGCCGTGCAGCTGCGGTGAGACGGTCGTCCAGCACTCGACGCAGCCCCCCTCGAGACTGCGTGGCAGCCGCCAGGCTGGATGCGGTGGTGAGAACGCGCTGCTGCGGCCAGCTCAAGCGTCGGCGTCCGCGTCGCAGCCCATCGCGGGCGCCGCGGCCGCCCAGGGCGAGGTGCCTGCTGAGCTGCAGCAGGCCTGCCGCAAGGCCGCTGGCGTCTGCGAGGACCGCCACAGGCGCCGCCAGGGCGCAGTGGATCAGCCCTGAAGCGACGCCCCGCGGTGAAGGCCGCCGAGCGCCGTGAAAAAAGGGCCCCGCCATGCAGCTGGCCGAGGCCGAGGCGGCGAAGCGGAAGGCTGCTGCGGCAGTCGCTGCCCTGGCGCCCGCGCAGTCTGCGCCGCGGGCCAGCGAAGGGGAGGGCGACCTCTTCCAGTTGGCGCGGGGCGATCGGATCTTCACCGACGAGGGAATCGAGGTTCTCGACGAGACAGAGCGCGCCAGCACGGAGAACCTCCGCCGCGAGCTCTGCAGCGCCAAGTCCCAGCTGCAGATTCGCTTCGCGGATGAGAAGGCCAAGCTGGCGCAGGCCAGGGAGCTCGCCGAGCAGAGCCGCCAGCGTTTGGCCAAGAAGCGCAAGGGGCCTGATGGTGCATGCGCGGGCGGCGAACCGCCTGGCCCAGGCCCCCCCTCGGCGCCCGCCGCGCCAGCCGCTGCTAGCAGCGAGGCCGCCGCCCGGCCGTCAGGAGCTGGGCCGCCGCCGCCGTCGGCCGCCGCGCCCGCCGCCGCTGCCCCTGTCGCCGCCGGGTTGGGTGGGGAGGAGGCCGCCGAGCTCAGCGATTCCAAGGTCCGCGCCGACGGGTAGGCCGCTGCGGCCGTCAGCGGCATGGGCGCGGGCAAGAGGGCAGCGGGGGGTGGCGCGGCCCCCGCCGCCCCCCCCGACGCCGCTCCCTCGCGGCCGCGCAGGCCGCGCGCGCGGGGCCCTTCGACCCTTTTGACGCGGCTTCGCACAGCGTCGATGTGGTTCACGATGCCCGATGCAACTGGCCAGAAAGTCGCGACGGGTGATTGCGATTCAGCGCAGTGCATCGCGGGCTTCGCGTCGACGGCGTTCGCGTTGATCGACCTCCGCTCGACTATGGGCTGGGCGCGGGACAACTTGCGCAGGCGCGCGCATGGGTGCGCTGCTCGCGGCATCGCAGCTGCCGCGGCTCGCGCTGGGGGGCCCCCCGCGCGGCAGCGTCGCGGGTTCGTGGGGCGCGCCGGGGGGCGCGCCCGGCAGTGCGACGCGGTGGCGACGTGAGGCGCGGGCTCGCATGGGTCGCGCATCGACTTCGGCGTGTGCTCAGAGTCCTGCTCGCCGTACCCCGCGAGTTTCTACGGCTTTCAGGCCGCGCCGTGGGAGACGCACTGCGGATCGGCGTTGGTTGGGCTTGCGCGGCAGCGGCGAGCAGATGCTCGCGCGTCGACCAGTTGCACGGCGCCCTCTGCTTGAAGACAAACGCCTTTCTTGTCCGCGGACCTCTGCGCCCAAGCGAGCTGGGGCCGAGCTCGCAGTTGCAGACGCGAGCCTCGGACTGCGACGACGCGGCGTTCACCGCCGAAAGCGAGGGCCGAGGGTGCGAATCCGATCTCGCGTCCCCGACGCGCGCGATAGCCTCCCCAACTCGTGCAAGGGCCAGGCGGGCGAGCAGACGCTCGCCGCGAGCAACCTCGGCGCGCCGACAAGCAGCCGCGCCACCTTCGGCCTGCCCCCTTTCTGCGTTGCCACCCACTGCAGTCGAACCGCGGGCGCCCGTCCTTTGGCGGGGGGGGGCGTGACAGGGGCGCCCGCGTTGGTGGAGCGCGGGGCCTTCGCGCTCGACTTCCCGGCTTGGCTCGGAAGCGCTCGCCCCTCGGCGACTCGCGCCCGCGGGGCCGCCAGAGGGCGCCGGCCGCCCGAGCCGACCCCTGTGCTTCAACATCAGAGCGCGGTGGCGAGCACGGTCTCATCGGCCCCCCGCCGGCAGCGGGCCGGCCCGCCCGGCAAGGGGCGCCCGCGTTGGTGGATCGGGGCTTTCGCCCAGCGCATCCCGGGGCAGCCGGGGGCAGCGCGTTTCTCAGGGGCCCCGGCCTGCATGGCCACCAGAGGGCGCCAGCCTGCGTGAGGGCCGACCCACTTGTGTCAACGACAGCGCGGCTTGGCGCGCTCTCCGTCCTCGGCGCCCCTTCGGCAGCAGGTCGGCCCGCCCGGCGAAGGGGCGCCTGCGCTGGTGGAGCGGGGCCTCCGCGCGCCGCGCCCGAGGGGGGCAATCGCGTCGCCGGAGGGCCCCAGCCTGCGGGGGCCTCCCTGCCGTCAGCTGCCGCGCGCGCCCACGTCGTTGCATGTAGGAGGTGGCGGCAAGGGCCACCATCCTCATCAAATGGTAGGGTTTGCTTCAGAATAGTCGGAGGTGCCAGCCCTTGCGTCTTGCTGGGCGAAACGCGCATCAGATCGGCGAGCGCCGAGCAGCAGCGGGATGTCATGGAAGAGCTGAGCGCCGCGCTGTCGGCGAGACGAGCGCGCTGACGTCGATGAGGAAGGGCCTCCCCCAGGCAACGGTCCAGCCCCGAGCTCGCCTGAGCATCGTCAGTCGCAGGCGCGGGATGGCGGCGCGGCCGAGGAGGACAGCGCGCGAGCAAAGGAGGTCGACGGAAGTCAGCGCGGGGCCTCTGGGCCTTAGTCGGGGCAACCGCGGTCGCCAACCTCCCACCACATCTCCCCCGTCGTGACTGCTTCCAGTTGGAGCCCAGCGCCAGGTTTACTGGAGCCTATTTTGAGTTGTTCGTCTGGGTCGAAGCCGCGCGACTGCGACGACGACGCCCCCGTCTGAATCCCCAGTGGGCACCTGGAAGAAGGCAGCGTCCTCGAGCCCGGGCCCTGGTTCGTCATCGCCGAGTCCGTTGCCTACCGCGTCGGCGGACCTGCCATCTTGGAGATCAGCCGCCAGTGCAGCCTCTGCGTCTGCCAGGTAGAGGACACCGTTCATCGTCACCACCGTGTACTTCGTCTGCGCAGCACAGGATCACCCGGTGCCGCAGGCGCCTACCTCGTCGACACTTTTGCGGGGCAGGTCACGTCACCGGACAAGTCTGAGCTCGCGAGCGCGGGTCAGGCGATCAGTTGGCGGGCCGCCTTTCACGCGGCAGTGGCCAAGCTTCGGATGCGTTCCGCGGCGAGGCCCGCGCCCGACGCCTTCCTGCGTGGGCGACCCCTACTTGGCCTCGAGCGTCGGCGTCTTGCTCGGCGCGCCCCAGTTCGCGCGCGTCTTGCCCTTGCTGAACGTCGGCTTCCTGGGGCTGGTCTGCATCGGCGAGCTGCGCCGCTACCTCGATAGATAGACTTCCGCCGCCACCCGCATCCGGCTCGCGAGATGGATTTCGCCGCGCTGCAGGCGCTCGAAGATGTCACTGGAGCTGCACTTCGCCGCGCACGTGGGCGCGCGCATGGGGCTCCCCTGAAGCAGCTCCTGAAGTGAACCGCCATCCCCGAGGGCCCCACCACATTGCTCCGCTCCCTCAAGAGAGCCCCCGCGCTCGAGGACGAGGCGGCCGCGCCCGGTGGCCTCTACTTGGCCCGCCCGCGCGACTTCGACCCCCAAGCCAAGTCGCGGCGCGAATTGCGGGCGCCGCGCGCCGCCGACCTGCGCGAGCACCTTGGCGAGGACAATGCGCCGAGCTTCAACCTCGCTCGATTGCGCGCAGTTTCTGCGCGCACGCGGGCGAAGACTGAGCGCGTTAGACCAGCTGCGTCCGACTGACCTTCAGAAGCCCCCCGCTTCGGCGCTGCTGGAGTTGCTGGACATCTACGATGCCGCCGAGC